TGTTGCACAGCTTTCTTTAAAATAATAATTCAGAATATTCTTTTTTTTTTTTGCTTTAATTTAAGCCGCTGTAAGTAGTTTATTTTCCCATAGCTGAAGAAATGGAGACTGTTGTGTTAGTTATAATCGATATGCAACTGGGAATATTCTTGCTAGTTTCAGTGTTGCATAAAATGTTTTAATTGGCTCAGTTTCCCAAGGAGAATTCTAAATTTCAGTGTTGAAAAAGCCTCGTGAGCATGTCCCATGATGACATTTTGTACTTACTGCGGCTGTTATAATGCATCTCTTTCAGAAATGTATACTGCTACTGAGTGTTTAAATGGTTACCTTGCAGAGTGGACAGTGTTAGTTCAGGGAAGGACAATAGTGGCAGTGTACATGTCTATTATGCCGAAGATCCCATGTTCAATCCACGATGTCTACAAGAGTATCATATAGCATATAATACAAAATATCCCTGGCTTGAATTTTCAAAAATGGCTACCGATCCAAATAGAAATATTGGGATGGGTGGAAATGTTCCTATGGATATCAATTTATGCTAGTTTAATAATCAGAGCACATACTCAATGGCACTGTCTCAAAGGTGTGTTTGTTTTTTTTTCCTTGCAAGATCCAATCTGGGTCAGTCACTGGGAGCAGAAGTTTTGTCTTCTGAGCTTTTGGACTTATGCTGGAGCCCATCCTGATGAGCATGTACAGTTCCCAGACTCCAGCATGAGTCTGAAAGGTGGCGGTTGATACCCCCAGACTTATGGTTACGGGGATTTCAACCTGCCGTCCGTCGATGAAACGTCTGAGGCAGCTCGGGAGTTCATGGCTTCCATGACGGCCATGGACCTGACCCAATTAGTTCACGGCCCTACTCACATGGGGGGACACACTCTGGATTTGGTTTTTATCTCTGGCCAGTGGCTGAATGGTCTAGATATAGGGGATATAGTGATTGAGCCCTTGTCATGGTCAGACCATTCTTTCCTTCGACTTGACTTCTGTACTGCTACACCCTGCCACAGGGAGGTGGAACCGACTAGGTGGTTCTGCCCCAGGTGCCTGATGGATCCTGATAGGTTCCGGACGGAGCTTGGGCCATTCCCTGAGGCTCTGGCTCACGACTTGACTGAAGACCTGGTAGCCGCCTGGGATAGGGCGGCCGCTGGAGCTTTGGATCGTGTCGTGCCTTTGCAGCCTCTGACCCGGCGCCGATCTCACTTAGCTCCCTGGTTCTCCGAGGAGCTGATGGAGATGAAGTGCTAGAAAAGATGCCTGGAGAGCGGTTGGAGGGCAGCCTTTCTGAATCCGACCGAACACAGGTGAGGTCTCATATTAAGACTTACCTAGTGGCGATAAAAGCAGCAAAATGTAATTATTTTGCCACTCTTATTACATCATCAGATAATCACCCAGCCACCCTCTTTAGGGTGACCCACTCCCTGCTCCATCTGGGAGTGCAAGAGGACCCCTTAGAGGGCAGGGCTGAGGATTTTGTGCAGTATCTGTATGACAAAATTGCTCAGATTCGGGAAGGCTTGGACTCTGACTGGGTAGATGCAGGTGGTGTGATGGAGGCAGGTCTTGAGAGTGTTATCTGGGAGGAGTTTGACCTGGTGACACCCGAAGACGTGGACAGGATTCTGGGTAGACTCAGCGCGGCCACATGTTTATTGGACCCGTGTCCCTCCTGGTTGGTGCTGGCTTCCCTGGAGGTTACATGAGGCTGGCTCCAGAGGATTATCAATGCTTCTTTGAGTGAGGGTTACTTTCCTGCCACCTTGAAAGAGGTGGTGGTGAGGCCCCTTCTCAAGAAGCCCGCCCTGGACCCGGCTGTTTTAGCAAATTATCGTCCAGTCTCCAACTTCCGCTTTGTGGCGAAGGTTGTTGAGAGTGTGGTTGCACGACAGTTTCCCCAGCACCTGGATGAAGCGATTTATCTTGATCCATTCCAGTCGGGCTTCGGACCTAGGTACAGCACGGAAATGGCATTGGTCTCATTGGTTGATGATCTCTGGAGGGCTCGGGACAGGGGTTGTTCCTCTGTCCTGGTCCTATTAGACCTCTCAGCGGCTTTTGATACCATCGACCATGGTATCATGCTGCGCTGGTTGGAGGGGTTAGGGGTGGGGGGCACCATATTGTGGTGGTTCTCCTCCTTCCTCTCTGATTGGTCGCAGTTTGTATTGGCAGAGGGTCAGAGGTCGACCTCGAGGCACCTTATATGTGGGGTGCCACAGGGGTGGGTCCTCTCACCCCTTTTGTTCAACATTTATATGAAGCCACTGGGTGAGATCATCCGTGGTTTTGGGGTGCAGTACCATCAGTACACTGATGACACTCAGCTGTACATCTCCACCCTGGACCATCCCAATGATGCCCTTGACGTGATGTCCCAGTGTCTGGAGGCCGTGCGGATCTGGATGGGGAGAAACAGGCTCAAGCTCAACCCATCCAAGACCGAGTGGCTGTGGTTTCCGGCGTCAGTTGGTGCCATCTCTGACTATCAGGGGCGAGTCGTTGGCCCCCATGGAGAGAGCTCACAACTTGGGTGTCCTCCTGGATACACGGCTGTCTTTAGAAGAGCATATGACGGCTGTGGCCAGGGGGGCTTTTTATCAGGTTTGCCTGATCCACCAGTTGCGTCCCTTTCTGGATCGGGATGCCTTGTGCACGGTCACTCATGCCCTCGTCACGTCCAGCCTGGACTACTGTAATGCTCTCTACATGGGGCTCCCCTTGAAGAGCATCCGGAGGCTCCAACTGGTCCAGAATGCGGCTGCACGGGTGAATATGGGAGCGTCATGGCGCTCCCATGTAACACCTTTCCTGCGCAAGCTGCACTGGCTTCTGGTGGTCTTTTGGGTGCGATTCAAGGTGTTGGTTATTACCTTTAGAGCGCTCCATGGCTTAGGACCTGGATATCTACGAGACCGCCTTCTGCTGCCAAGAGCCTCCCACCGGCCAGTACGCTCCCACAGAGAGGGGCTCCTCAGGGTGCCGTCGGTCAAACAATGTCGACTGGCGGCCCCCAGGGGGAGAGCTTTCTCTGTGGGAGCACCTGCCCTCTGGAACGAGCTCCCCCCGGAGATATGGATGATCCCGGACTTCAAACTTTTCGCCGGGCCCTGAAAACTTTCTTATTTCACCAAGCCGGGCTGGCCTAATTTTTTAATTTTTTAAATTGTTCAATTTTAATCTGAATTTTAATGGGGTATTTAAACTGTTGGGCCAAATTATTTAATTTATATTAAATTGCTTTTAAATTTTGTATTTTGTGTTTTTACCTTTGGCTGTTCACTGCCCTGAGTCCTTCGGGAGAAGGGCAGTATATAAATTTAAAAAATAAAATAAAATAAAATAAATAAATAAAGTAAGTCAAAGATTATCCGCAAGGAGGCACACCTAGAATAGAATAGAATAGAATAGAATAGAATAGAATAGAATAGAATAGAATAGAATAGAATAGAATAGTTAGGAAGGACCTTAGAGGTCTTCTAGTCCAACTCCCTGCTTAGGCAGTAAACTCTATACTATTTCAGACAAATCGTTGTCCAGTCTCTTTTTAAAAACTTCCAGTGTTGGAGCATTTACAACTTCTGGAGGCAAGTTGTTCCACTGATTAATTGTTCCAACTGTCAGGAAATTTCTCCTTAGTTCTAATTGCTTCTCTCCTTGATTAGTTTGCATGCATTGCTTCTTGTCCAGCCCTCAGGTGCTTTGAAGAATAGCTTGACTCTCTCTTTTTTCTGGCAACCCGATATCGAAACACTGCAATCATGTCTCCCCTAGTCCTTCTTTTAACCAAACTAGACATACCTAATTCCAGCAACCTATTGTGACTCTGACCCCTGAGGCCGACTTATCGGAGGGAGAAGGCTCCGAACATGAAGGAGTTGGCCAGGCCTCCCTCTCCAGGACCCTCCTTTCTGGCAATGCCTCAGGTGTCTCCTGAAGGAGAAGAGATTCGCCAGGAGCCAGGTATCTCCTCGCAGTCAGACAGTGACGGAGATAAGTCTTGGCTGGATCCATGCCAGTGTCGGAGAGACAAGCGCACGCAGCAGAAAAGGAGGCGTGCCAGAGATTAAGCTGAGTCACTGGACCACACCCCCTAGGGGATAAAAGGAGGTGAGGTGGCCATTCAGACTCTGTGACGGGCAAAACTAACTACTAGCGAGTCACATTGTATCTTTGAAACAACGTTATCTGCCTTGGATTTAATATGGACTGGACTTGACAATTCTTGAACTGTGTGTATCTTGTTTGGGTTTATCTGTTGGAGGAACAACCCCTCCCTCTATGAGTAAAGTTCTTGGCAAGCAGCTACTGGGTTGCTGCCATCCTCTTATCGAAAGAATTTGTTGTCTGCCAGTTTTATTTAACCCATGGCTATCAGTTTGTGTGTGTGTGTGAGACGGGGACAGAACACAACCGTTCTTTATATGTTTTAGCCTCCAATCCCATGATCATCCTTGTTGCTCTTCTCTGCACTCTTTCCAGAGTCTCCACATCTTTTTTACATTGTGGCGACCAAAACTGAATACAGTATTCCAAGTGTGGCCTTACCAAGGCATTATAAAGTGGTATTAACACTTCACATGATCTTGATTCTATCTCTCTGTTTATGCAACCAAGAACTGTGTTGGCTTTTTTGGCAGCTGCTGCACACTGCTGGCTCATATATGGCTCATGATTGTCCACTAGGACTCCAAGATCTCTCTCACAGTTACTACTATTGAGCCAGGTACCACCTATACTGTATCTGTGCATTTTGTTTTTCTTGCCTAAATTTAGAACCTTACTTTTTTCAGCACTGAATTTCATTTTGTTAGAAAGCACCCAATGTTCAAATCTGTCAGGATCTTATTTAAGATTCATATCTCAATGTTGCACAGTGCTAACATATTTCAGGAAAAGTTGGCTGAGCCCTGAAGACATGTATTTTCAGAGAGTTTTGGCAAGTCACTTCTAACCTGATGCTGTACTATTAAACTAAAGTACATGAGTGTTTTTGTTTTCATAGTAAAGATGTCTTTATTCCAAAATAATAATGTGTTAGCCAGACAACTACATACAAAACATCTACACAAGACTTTGGTAGGAAATATATCCATAACAGTTTTCTCAAAAATTTCATTGCGAACCCAAAATAACAAAAAAACTTAAAATAAAAGAGGATCTTTTCTTAATTTTTTTTAAAAAAAACCAAGTAGTGTTTATTAAAATCTATTGTACATGTAATCCCCCCAGCATTTCTGTTCATTGCTTGTAAAGTTTCTACAGATTATTTATTTTAAAAAAACAACAACAACAAAGAGGAACAAGAAGATATACCAATGTTAATAAATGGTCAGTGAGGTGTATAAAATTTTTATAGCTACTCTATATCTGCGTTTTGGTTCTCAAGTGTGCAAGAGACATGAATTATTGTAAAAAAAAAATCCTCCATATATTTTAATTGGTTGATGTGGAGCCAATATTATACTACAAGGTTTGTAGCAATTCAAATACATATTCAGAATACGTATTCCATATCACAATGAGTTCGTTTCTTAACAAAGAAATCTTAAAGATTTCAATACATTAGATATAATTAAATTCATCTAAATTGAGTGGTACAAGGTAATCTTAATTAAAATCCATAATTAAAAGAATGGAATAACTTTAATTGGATTAGATTTCTTCTGTATTCCCCCCCCTTCATTTTCTTCTGATACTTTTTATGTATTATTCTGTGAAGAGTCACAAGCTTCAAGACAAAAATCCCTTTGAAACAAATTATAATATTTTCTTTTTTTTCCCCAGTATGAACTGGGACAACTACTGACTGATATAAGATGGAAATTATATTCATCTGCAAGCTTTGTCATGCTTTCTGATAGCAATCCTTTGAAAAGTTAGCCAACCATTCATAATACTATTAGACATTAAAGAAATTAAAGGCAACTGTGCAACCATTCTGTCAGTCAAATACTGCCCCCAGTGAAATACCAATTTTGAATTCCTCTGAAATCAGGCAGAGTGTTTGTACTTTAGTTCACTAGAGCCAACACTCTTCTAAGACAGTCAGCAATATTTAATACATCACAGCATAAAAGGAACTGTTTGTTGCAGTTAAATTCATGAGGAGTGTACACATTTCATGCATATTTTGATTGGATGGATGACTAATTTATCATCATAAAACAACAGAACTTTTAATATCTGAAGACTGGGGATCCCAATACTGATAGCAACTTGGAAAATGTTTGCTGCTTCAAGATGTTTCTGCTCTATACGTGCCCATATGCTGGACCTATAGAACTCCTATGTTCACTCTGTGCCTTGGACTCCAGTGTTTTTGGGTGAGTTACATTAAAAATGACTGGCTGTTCAGAATGAAAAAGTACAATAATTGTAATATAATTTATGAGGGTACATTTCTAGCAAGCTAGTTGAGCCATAGCCTTATCTAGATTTAGATGGAGGAACTTTGGAAATTTCATAAAAAGGAAGATTGTGTGGTCATATGGAAGTGGTAAAAATGAAAGTATATGTACCTGTACATAAATCTTTGGGGGAAAAGAACATTGCTAATCTTTGGAAGCTAAAAACCCTTCCCCATGTGCCCCCAAGGTGCTAAGGATTTCTACTATCTAAAAAGGCCAAGCCAGTTAATTCTGTAAATATATTGACCCAGTTCCTGCTTGACATGATCAGGCTTCATGCTTTTAAGTTAAAATTTTCTGTTTGGGGATCTAATGTATACTGGCATTTGGCATTTATTAATTTAAGCCATCTTGTTTTTCGTTTGCAAAACATGTCACATAGTTATGTGTTAAATTGCAGACAGACAATCTGATTTTTTTTTATGGCGGTCTTTTCAACCATCTGTGTTGACTAGGGATTATGGAAACTGAAATCTAAAAGTTCAAGCTATAAGCCTGTAATAATATTTTATAATACAAATACAGGAGCTTTCATCTTCATTCCTAAGATGTCCCTAAGGAACCTGTCAGTGGTACTGGCATTTATCTAATCCTTCAACTTCATGACATTTTTCAAATAGCTATGCTTTTTCCTTTGCTCTTTGTGAGTAGGGGTGTGCACGCTTGGAAATTAGTAACACCATGTTCCCACAAAGCAGCTATTTTCTGCACGTGCTTTGTTCACCACTGAGTTACAGAGTAGAAAAATAAAGCAAAAACATGACGAATGCAGGGACATTTATGTAAGAGGAATAGAAGCCAAATTAAGTTGTGTGACAAAGAAGCAAAATTAAATTCTGAAGCAAACAAAATAAAATGCTCCTTAGTTCTTCCTGGGCTTGGTGGATAGAATAAGATCAGCTACTCTAGAGCTGGGGAGATTCACATCTTTTGTGAGTATTTATATTGTTTATTTACACTGGTTAACTCTGTAAAAGTCCACAGTTTCCCCTCAAGCTTCTGAAATGTATTTGCCTAGCTATGTTGCACGCAAGGAGAATTTGTTAAGGGAGGATATTTTCCTGTACCTTATCATCTAGCATATGACTGTGAGAGAGTATGGAAGATATTTTTAAATGCAGCTTACTAGCTAATTGACATATGGCTTACAGATGGAAAATTGTTCCTCCTTACTCTTCACTGTCTGGGCAGCTTATGTTTGCTTTCCTTTCTTAATGGAAACAATCATAAGGTGATTTATTTAATAGGGGTCTAAGCAATTGCAGGAAGAAGAAAAGGGATATTGTCAAAGGATTGCTATAAATACCATTTTTTTTTACATTGCTGATGGTTAAAGATCAATATGCACCTGTAGTATTATTAAAGTAATTCCTTGGCACAGCTGTATAAACACAGAGGCACTGCTTTCAGTATTTTGAAAATGGTTTCCAAATATTTAAGTTTGCGGTATCATTTCTGCATGCATCCCAAGTATTTACAGGGACTATTTCTATGATTATGGTTTGTCCACACAGATATGTCTATAATTTCAGTGTTATAAGATTTCACAATGACTTCACTAGTTTTATGCGTTAAGGGCTAGCTGGAGCATTAAGGAGCTACTCTCAGCAGATATTTGTAAGGAAGTATTTATAAAATAGATCTCTTGCACCAGCAAGACTAATTAAGCAAACCACACTGCAAAAATGAAGACTAATATACACAATTTATATATTTTCTGTTTTTTTAAAAAAAAATCAAACCAAGGTTGATTTTTTTACATTTAGCTCAGGAGTGCATTATCCAAAAGACTTCGGTTTGCTAACAGGGATGAACATTGCAGGCTCTTAATTCCTTCTTGTCTTTGCAGCTAGTGAACTGACTGCTTTTGAAACGCTTCTTGACGGTCATAAACCTCTCCTGGATTCCACCCCCACACAGTTTGGTGCATTCTGACCAAGCAGTCCATGGCTTCATTTTGCAACCTAAAAAAAAAAAAAATAACAGATAAGAAACATAAGAATCACTTTCGTGCTTGAATTCCTTGATATTTCTTTTTTCTTCACAAGTGATAGTTCTATTGCTACTCCTGTTTTGAAAATGGAAAGAGAAGATCTATAAACCATGAGATCCTACAGATTACTCCAGAGTTATACCGGGATGACGTTTGTACTTGCCGAAAGTCCTAATTGGTTTGAATCATCTAACATTTCCATATGTGGCTCATAGGTCTGTTTGTGATTATAGTATCTAATAGTCACATACTGGATCATGTGAATGGATTATTTTGGAATTTAAAAGCAGCCTACCTAAGGATCTCAGATGGGCCCTTTGTCTTGCAGGTTTTCCTTTCCTTTCCCTTCCTTCCCTTCCCTTCCCTTCCCTTCCCTATCCTTTCCTTTCCTTTCCTTCCCTAGCCTTCCCTTTCCTTCCCTTTCCTTCCCTTCCCTATCCTTCCCTTTCCTTTCCTTTCCTTTCCTTCCCTATCCTTCCCTTCCCTTCCCTTCCCCTTCCCTTCCCTTCCCTATCCTTCCCCTTTTCCTTTTCCTTTCCTTTCCTTCCCTATCCTTCCCTTCCCTTCCCTTCCCTTTCCTTCCCTTCCCTTTCCTTTCCTTCCCTTCCCTTCCCTTCCCTTCCCTTTCCTTCTCTTCCCTTCCCTTCCCTTTCCTTTCCTTTCCTTCCCTTCCCTTCCCTTCTCTTCCCTTTCCTTTCCTTCCCTTCCCTTCCCTTTCCTTTCCTTCCCTTCCCTTTCCTTTTTCCTTCCCTTCCCTTCCCTTTCCTTCCCTTCCCTTCCCTTCCCTTCCCTTTTTCCTTCCCTTCCCTTCCCTTCCCTTCCCTTTCCTTTCCTTTCCTTTCCTTTCCTTTCCCCTTCCCTTCCCTTCCCTTCCCTTCCCTTCCCTTTCCTCTCATCTCCTCTCTTCTCTTCTCCTCTTTCCTTCCTTTCTCCTTCAACCTGGCAAGAAAGGCAGGCAGGCTTTCCTTGATTTGGTTATCTATAGTTGTTCAATGATCTAAACCTAAGAATTTATGGAAAACATCAAGATTCCTGGGAAGTAGTTAAGGATCATTGAAAGAAGCTGTACTAACAAGAATATACATTAATAATGTACTTCTCTGTTGCACAGCTCACTTTTTTAATTTAAGGATTGCTCTGTGAGTTTTACTACACTTACCTGGGAATTGCCCACCATCTACATCTTCTTTCGCTTGTTCACTCCTCCTTTTCTCCCGAGATTCTTTCCAGCGCCTTTTCTCAATATTGGGGTTTCTCAAGCATTTTCTTATTCGGCATTTTTTACGTTGTACAGTTTCTGGGCATGGAGCGCCTCCAAACTGAGGTTCCATTTTGATCATTCTTGTCCTGATCATATGGCCTTTCCCACAAGACTTATTGCATTCAGACCACTGAGACCATTCTGTCAGATCACAGTCAATTGCTAGAGAAGCAAGGATGAAAAATAGGATGCTTAGTCTTAACTTACTTAGGCGGAACAAACTGGTTTAGCAGAAGAACAATTTACTTCTTTTTAATCTCACTATGAGAAAAAAAGGAACATTTAGGTTGATGATGACACGGAATGAATTTTATACAAGCTTACCCTGAAAATGTGTTAGCAATACCACCTTCTCACTAAGCTCTGACAGCAGTACATTCACACCACCCTATTAGAAATGATCACTCACCAGAAATTAACTCTTGGAGCAGATTTATAGGAAGGATATGGATGGAAAAATGCAGACGATTGGAGAGGAAAAGGACTAGAGATGGGAGGGGGGGGGGCAAACCTTGATTCCAACGATTGACGGATGGCACTTTTTATAAAAATTACTGTGAAAATATGTGTGAAATGCATTCAATTATTCATCAGGCTTTTACAATCTGGAATGGCACAAATTTAATCATTTTGTATTGCTACTTTAAATTTTTTTTTTTTTATCATATTCCTGAATGTTTTCCATAGAAATGTCATTGAAGGTAAGAAGAAATGTCTATATAACGAAGTTATGTTAATATGGCATAACTCATTTGAGCAATGGCAAGGCCCTTTTGAACACTTTCTTAAAATACAGGTCTATTTTTTTCTCTCTCTATATATATCTACTACCTGAGAAAACGTTAGGAATTTGTTTCTGGTGTGCAAATGGTGCTTTACAGTAACAAAGCAATGCATCATGCTTGTTGACACCCGGCTACCGTATAGGAAGAGCAATGTACGTAACACATTTCTGCTTGTGTGGAATAGAAGAAATAAATAAAACCAACCGTAAAATTAATCTTCATACTCTAGATATCTATACTTACGACACTCTGGCAGCATGCATTTCTCTACTTGTTCTAGTTCTTCATTGCAATCTCCAAGCTCCGCAGCAGATTTTAGCATCCTTTGCCTGGTCCTCATCCCCTTTCCACAAGTAACACTGCAGTCGCTCCATTCAGACCAAGGAGAAAGCAGGCAGGGAATGGTATCTAGTGCAGGTTGGGATGGAAAAGAGTATGAGCTCATTCCATTTCAACAGTAAATCTACAAGTGATGATCAATCTGGCGAACAAGTGATCCATCTACCCACTCATCAAGGGGAGGGGGAGGATGTAGGACAACTTGCTACGGACAATTTGCTGTGGCCAACTTGCTGTGGCCAACTAGCTATGGCCAACTTGCCTTAGCCAACTTGCTATGGCCAACTCACCACTAGACAACTCACTGTGGCCAACTCGCCAATGGGACAACTCTCTGTGGGACAAGAGCTACACTAATATTGAAGAAATGGCGGAATAAAATCATTGAAGAAAGGATGCAAAAGGAGGGATAAAGTGAAATGTGAATGACAAAAATTAAAATAAAATTTTAAATGATTTTAAATAATTCAATTGAATTCTTGAATTGTCCAGTGGCGAGCTGTCCTGTGGCGAATTGGTTGTGGTGAGTTATCTTGTGGCAAACTGGCCGCGGTGAGTTGGCAAAGGTGAAATGGCCATGACAAGTAGGCAGAAGCGTGTTGGCCACTGTGAGTTGGCCATAGGGAGTTCTCCCATTCCGCATCAAGGGAAAGGATAGCTATTTGATAATGACTAAAATGAAACTGGATTGAAATGTGTACTGGTCTTCCAGCATCTAATGATTCCAGTCTGTATTTTGCTACAGATTACTGGCAGATCTACTTTAACAATGGAGTGAGACTATCATCCCTCATTTCCAGTATTCATAATTTATTCCTAAAAGAGACTGATCTAAGATATTTTTGTTGCAAATCACTCTATTTTATACAATGCTGGATATCTCTGATTAGATTTCCTGATGTATTCTCCTAGGTTGGATCAGTGGTAAAGGGTTGACATTAATAAAGCCTTTTCCCTGGTTTAAATGGCTCCTGCAGGTACTGTTAATTGCTGTTTGGAGTGTGCGGGTAATATTTGTCATCCAAGAAAGATTAGACATAAAAATATTTGCACACATGCAACCATCTTTCTCATCTTGTTAATAGAAATGTCACCTCCCACTGAAACCAGTCCTGAGATTATTTTCTCCCCCATCAAATATATATACTTATAAATGTATATGAATAAGCATACACATATATTAAAAGGCATACTCGTGTGTGTGTGTGTGTGTGTGTGTGTGTGTGTGTGTGTAACTAATGTCTATTGATCAAAATTAATTGCCTGTAGACTAAGACTCTTTGTTTCTAAAATTAATTGATGTCCTACCAGGATATATGCAGAAACCATTCTGTCTCTTACAAATTACTTTCTTGCACATAGTACCCATTCAACCAGAGAAAGAAAACTACAGAAAACTGAGCATAACAAGCGTAAATCTATGCTTCTTCTGTAATAGGTCCTATTGAATTCAATAGCTCTTGTTTCTAATTAAATGTGCGGACTACTGATAAGCTGGGCACAGATCTTTTCGGTCCCAGTTATTCCTTGTAAATGATGATGGAACGTAGGAAACAGATCCTTGAAGGATTGAGTTTTCCTTTAGTTTTCAACAAGGAAATGATGAATGGAAGCCTTTGTGCTGGGCTACTAGCATAAGGAAACACACAGATGTTCGTTCTGTAGCAAGTCTCACTGTATTGAATGTGTTTTTTCTTATTCAGCTTAATCAGAATGCTCAGCCCAATCCTCCTTCCACTTGGAGATTATGAAGGAGTATTTTTCTCCTTCAATTGTAATTGGCTATAGTAGGAACTCTTTCTGTCTAGCTGCTGCACCAAGACCCTCATTTTTCTGAAACCTTATCCATATGGAAAGCCTTCATGGATAAAAGAAACTCTCCAGTTTATACATTGTGGATGATGAGAGGCAGGCATGGAATTTCACACTTCCTCCTTGAAGTGAAGGCAGTGGCATGATGTCTATGGAAATTCTCACTCATCCAGGTCATGGTTGTCCCAAAGGTGCTTTTTCAAGAGGTAACTGGACTTTCTGGTTTTTCTTTGAAGACGTTTCACTTCTCATCCAAGAAGCTTCTTCATCTCTGACTGGATGGTGAGGAATGGAAGGATTTATACTTCTTGCAGACAGCTGGTCATTTGCATTTCTTTTAGTGAATTGCTAAGGCCACCTGGAGGTTTATCTGTGTCATGAGGGTCACCTGAGTAGTGGAAATGGGTGTGGAGCCTTCTTGGAACTGTTGAAAGAATTGTATTGCAGACTGGAGATAGATGGTGTCATATCCCTCCCCGTTTGTTAAGAGGGCTGTTCAATTTTGACATAGAGGCCTATGTATAACAACTCACTAAAAGAATGCAAATGACCAGCTGTCTGCAACAGGGGTGGGTTCTACTTACCTTTACTACCGCTCCGCAACGGGGCCACGCACATGCACAGAAGCTTCCTGATGACATCGGGGTTGGTGGGCGGAGCCTCCCACCAGTTTTATTACCGGTTCTATAGAACCGGTCTGAACCAGGGGCAGCCCACCACTGGTCTGCAAGGAGTATAAATCCATTCCCCACCATCTAGTCAGAGCTGAAGAAACTTCTTGGAGGAGAAGTGAAATGTCTTAGAAAGTCCAGTTGCCTCTTGAAGAAACACCTTTGGGACATGGCAGTGGCTTGTTTACTCCAGCCATTTGCTTTCATTATCTGCACTCATGCACAGACTCCTGCTTTCACAACGGCATCCACCTCCACCACCAAATTTGCAGTGAGTATAAGCTTTGACCCCAGATTGCAGGCAATTCATTAGTCAATCCTGAGCCCCATCAGGAGTGAAATCTGGTGGTGCAGTAGTTAGAATGCAGTATTGCAGGCAAACTCTGCCCACATCCTGAAGTTCAATCCTGACAGGATTGAACTCCTTGACTCAGCTTTCCATCCAAGGTAGATAAAACAAGAATCCATATTGTTGGGGGCAATATGCTGATGTTGTAAATCACCCAGAGAGTGCTGTAAAGTGCTATGGGGTGGCATATAAGCCTAAATGCTATTGCTATTGCTAAAATTTTCTCATCTTCCCTTCAGGTAACATTTTCTTCCTTTCTGTGACTAAATACACACTTTTGGAGAAAAGGTTTGTACTGAAGGATTTCTTGGAATACATAATTTAATCTCCTTCCTTCAGCATGATGATCTTGATGGAGTTCATGGCCCTGATGCTTGTTTTTAAGAAGAGAAAATGATGGTGAGAGAACTGGCATTTACCTCTGACATTATATGTTTTTTCCCCTCAACAGCAAATTATATTTACAAGAATAATGTATTAAAATGTTACGTTTTGATTTACTCTGCTAAGAAAAGCAAATCAGGTTGCAACCATTTTGTGAGTGTGTATATGTGAATGCATATATGTGTGGTGTAGAGATCAGAAGTGTACAAAATATGTGTACCAAAGCAGCATTTTTAAATAAAACTGAAAAAAAAACCCCAAGAAAGCACTTCTCACTTCTTGTCTTAAAAACTGCAAAGCTTATGATTTGCTAGAATGTCCTCGCTTCAGATATTTAGACTGACTGCTCTCTCACGTCTTGTGGTCAATATAATTGTACACTTTTATATATTTTTGGTTTGAAATGGCTACTTTGTCACGGAAAAGTTTTAGAAGTCTACATTGTGAAGAAACCTATTAGAAAGTATACACATGATAAATTGTGTTACTTGTTGCATGTGTCCTTTGCACATAGCATTGTTCTTTTTTATATAAATACACAATGTGTACACAAGGCAGTTAACATACCCCCTTTTTACTTAGTTGCCCGGTTGACCAGAGTTACTTACGGCATTCGGGATTCATGCATTTCTCAGCTTCTGTGGTTTCTGCTTTGCACATGGATCCATCTGCTGGGGTCATCTTGATCATTCTGTGTCTCTTCTTCATTCCCATCCCACAGCTGGCACTGCATTCATCCCACTCTCCCCATTCGGTTACCAAGCAACTGCTAGGAGCTGTCCATAATATATTAGCCAAAGATCAGTTTGGTGGCACTTATTTAACAGAAGATTCACATTTTGCTTTTAGACTGATTAAGTGTGGTAGGGTGCATCAAATACTTACAACATTCTTCATTTACAATGCATTTCTCCGTTTCTTCTGTAGGCACTTTGCACATGGAGCCATCCTCCGGGAACTGCTTCACATAACGCTCTCTTGATCGCATTCCCATGCCACAAGATACACTACAAGGGGACCACGTTATCCACTCAGACATCATGCATGTAGAGCCATCTAAAAAAGCAACAATGGATAATTTCCATTTATTCCCAAACCTCACTTACATTTGATCAACAAAATGTTGATTCTCAGTTCCTGGAGGATGGCTCCATGTTGATTCTCATGTCCAGGGTCTCCTCACCTACCTTCATCACTACAGCCTGGGCCCATACAAGGCTGGAAGTCCTGAGTTTCTGGACAAGGCACACTGAGGTCAAGCTGGGCTTTGAGCATTCTCTGCCTCATCCGCTTGCCCTTTTCACATGTGGAAGAGCTACAGGCTGACCAGGGAGACCAATTCGAATAGATGCAGGTTTCAGGAGTATCATCTGAAAACAATGACAAATATATATAGGTCAGTATGTATGTGTGAATGCATATATATGTCTGGTGTAAAGAGCACTACACAGTAGAGATATACATAGAGTACATCTGTATATGATATGCATAGATAAACTGTCCACATATAACAGGCTGAACCACAAATTAGGTTTTGACCTACTGTTGTCCTTGCATGCCTTGTGCTTACTTTGTTTCTCACAACTCTTTTCTTAATGATGCTGTGTTGCTTACCTAAAATCTTTACTTACACTCTTTGTATGCATATGAACATTTTCAGCTCAAATTTATTGACTGTGCTTAAACCCAATTAATCCTCCCAAACAATTAAACATAGTTTTCTTTTTTAAGATTACTTCTCTATTCAGTATAATTTAATGGACACACTAAGTACTGTACCGGAGACTTTTTGCCTACAGAAGAGGTACTCTACCTAGCAGCCCAACTAACTGTCTCTACCTTTGCCCTTGCCTAGAACAAGTCCTCCTTTTTATGATCCCTGGTTGACTGCTAGATGTATAAATATACTACTTAACAAACTAACGTTTGAAAGAAAGATTGGAATGGATAACTAAGAAGATGTGAGAGATGGTGCCTACAGAGGGGGAGATGGGATTACAGTGAAGCAGCAGTTTCCAGAAAGAAGGGAGCACATTCCAAGAAGTGGGGGCAAGACAAGAGGCAGCCCAGCCCAGAGCTGGGTAGGAGATAGAGGAAGAGAGTTAGGATAGCCACTCTCTAGAATCTCCCAGGGTATATGTGTTGGAATGAAAGCAATGAGGGTTCAATTTGTCAAGATTCTTTCTACTGAGGGTAGAGATTCATTCTTTGAGATTGTATGGTTAGTAGGTCTTGTGATGGGAGGCTCACGTCAGGTGAGGTTCTTGTGATGGGTCAAGTGTGGGTCACATTAGATGAGGGTCTTGTGATGGATCTTCACATCATGTGAGGGCCATTGGGAGGTGAAGTGCTGGTTGGGGGTGGGTTGCCTCACCTGATGTTGGGGAGGGGGTGACCCTCACCTGACGTGACCTCCCCATCACAAGACCTTCTGACCACCAAAGCCCTTATAATAAGAACACTGATACTGACATCCCCTAAACTCTACTGAAGATGTTACCTAGCTTGTAACGAAATGTTTGGAAACCAACCCACAAGCTCAGAGAATGAACCTCCACCCTCATTCTACACCTGAGCTACAGATATTTGCCACCGTTGCATTGTATCTATTGTGTGCAAGCATATAAAGAACTGAACTTTGGTTGGATTGTTCACTGTCATTTTTGGACTAAGCCCAATAATAAGTAAGAAAGAGGAGCAGTTAAGATAAGGAAAATAGTTTAGCTTGATGAAGATCAACCCCGTACAAGATAATAAAGTACATGAGATTAGTCTTCTGCTAAATTAGAAAATTCCAAAATTTCTGCCTGCTGACACTATCACTGCGGGTGTTTATTAAGTAATGATGCAGACTCCAACCATAAATGGCTAAGCAAATTGTTTTTTTTCCCCTCCTGTTTTTAATACTGTCCTAATAATAAGGCAAACAGCATGAAATACAGAGGAGCAGCACTGGAGAGTGAAGGGAAATACAAACTCATAAAGGTAGGAGGACATAATTAAAAAGTACCTTCGTCTTCTGGAGCTTCTGCAGCAAGATCTGCAACAATGTCATCGATGCTATCAGGAAGAATATTGCACTGTTCCCCCTGCAAAGAAACATTTGTGAATTGGATTGAATTGGCGGAGGAAATAATATGCTGCTGAGCACTGGGCTGGAAAATCAATTGCCAGAAGTTATTCAAACAGCATCTACAAGCGCTCAGGCTTATAAAGATGGCAGTAGTCATCAGGCTCATGGAAAACTCAGATCCTAAAGGAAGTCCCACAAAGATATTGTGTTTCTGATTGGCAGGGGAAGCTGTGTTCCCTTGCAAAACAAGCTAAGAGGCAAACAACATTCTGCTGGAAAAAAAGTGATGGGAGGACTGGGGAGATGAGGAGGTGATAATGTCCCATCTAAAAGCTGGATGTGCTAGAAAGCAATGTTAAGTGAGCTTGGGGGCCCCACTTATTGTCTATAATGACCAGGGAGCCCTAAAACTCTCCATATATCTAATGAAGGAATATGCTCCAGATTGCTGCCGCAAGAAAGATCTATTTGTGACACAGAGCATCATTATGTTATTAACTCGCTAGAAAATGTTCTTATTAAGTAATGAGCTTGATCTTGCTTTACAAGGCTTTTTTTTTTATATGCTATGCCGCAGAATCTTTTCCAGGCTCAGAGCTTTTGATAAAGTACAACCAGGACAGGAATTAAATCTAATTTAATTTCACCTATCCTTAAATTTAATTCAAATGAAATAAAATTAATTTGATTAGTCTTGCTTTTCAGAAGTTCACCTTTGCTATCTTGGTGAATTCCAATTTGGTAACAGCTTCTGCAGCTCCGTGGAACTCTCCTCTTGTGCTTCTGGGGGCCTTAAACCTTTGATGGTGCTTCTTTGCATTCCTTGCAGTTCGAGCAGAAAGGAGAGGAATTCACCCTAAGGCAGGGATTCCAACCTTGTCCACTTTATGACTTGTGGGCTTCAACTTCCAGAATTCCTCAGCCAGTACTAAGGAAACACTGGCTGAGGAATTCTGGGAGTTGAAGTCCACGAGTAAAATTGCCAAGGTTGGAGACCCCTGCTCTAAGGAATGAGGTCCTTCACATCTCCACTGACCCAGCATGCACCACTCCCTTTATGAAAACCTGTTGAACGACATTTGTCATTTTATTACCAGATTTCAGTTTTCTTGTTATTTAATCCCATTCCATGCTCAAATATTCCATATCAGTTACTAAGTGAACTTTCATACTAATACCTTTCGTGCAATCCTCTCAATGACAACTCTGGCTACTGATTTAATGGAACCTCCTTCAGGGTCATAAAAAGGACTTTGAGGATGGTCTAGACTTGTGAGTGGTCTTATCTTCTCCTGAGGTACTGTTGGCTTGTTGGATGACTGCAGTCAAAAAAGAAGCACAGGCAGACATAGAAGAAACGCAACAATGAAAAATATGGTATACAAAAAGTGTACAGGTAAACTTCCATGAACATCGTTTGGACCCAGAGTTTAAACAACACCCCCCCCCATGCACAGACAAGAGAGAGGAAGGAAGGAGGGAGGGAGGGAGGGAGGGAGGGAGAGAGAGAGAGAGAGAGAGAGAGAGAGAGAGAGAGATATGAGTTGGCAAATGGAAAAATGGAATAACTTAAATATGCACAACTAGCATAATGCCCAATGATTTCAGGGGCTTGGATGTAACCTAATGTAAATTACGCTGTCATAATTAATGGAATTAGACTGATTAATACATTGATATTAACTTGCTATAAAGAGAAGGCCAAGAAAAGAGAAGATAGATTTCCATCCTCTTATGAGTCAATCCTATGATTTAATTTCTACAGTCAGAGTTTGTGAGAATTTTTTCAGCTCAGAAGAATGGCTGCTGTGATGAGTCTCTCTCAACCACTGCAACCCACTGGCACTGCTATATCCATGTATCGATGCAGACATCCAGGCAAGACAGTGTATAGTCATTGCCAATTAACAGAGCTTAGAATCTCATAACTAAGTTCTCCAAGGAATTCAGGTGGAGTTAGCAATGAAGTTAAATATCATCAGAGAAGATTTTGGGAAGGAGAAACCTGGAAAGAAAGGTAATGACTGGCAGCTAAAATGGCTGAAATACACAGCAACTGGCTTTGAACCTGATTCCAGTAAAACCCAATATGGATTGGTAAACTTGATTTGGGTTAGTTTGTGGACAAGTGGAATATTGCCAAGAAGAAATGTTTTGACACCACCTGAAGAACTGTGCTGGACGTTTCGATTCACTGCAGAAAGCTCTCAATAACAGAAGCTCATAAGCTAATAAGATCAAAGTTATTAAGATCATAGATTCCCCCCCCCCCAAAAGACAGCAAACAATGAACCTGCCAATTGGATTAAAATAGAAATGCTGGCCGGTATAACTAAGGTTTTTTCCCCCCCACAGAGATCAGTGTATATAAAGATTTTTTTCCCCTTCCATTCAGTTGTGTCTGATTCTCAGAAATTGCTTGGACAAGTTCTTGAAGTTTTCTTGGCAAGATTTTTCAGAAGTGATTTGCCATTGCCTCCTTCCTAGGGCTGAGAGAAAGTGACTGGCCCGAGGTTACCCAGCTAGCTTTGTACCTTGGAAGGGACAAAAGCTCACAGTCTCCTGGTTTCTAGCCTGATGCCTTAACCAGGGGTCAACAACCTGCAGCTCCGGAGCCACATGCGGCTCTTGGGGCCCTCTGCTGTGGCTCCCTGTCAGGTGATCCCACCACTGGCTGGCCCCGCCCCTCATCCTCCCCTCTCAGTCACTCCTCACCTGGCCTGAGAAGGTAAGGGTGACGGCGGGGGATGGAGAAGCGGCCAGGGCAGAGACAGAGAGCTACAGAGAGAGGGGGAGAGAGTGGGGGGAGAGAGGAAGGTGGGGAGAGAGAGAGATGTCAAAAGGATTTTGTGGTTCCCGGTGTTTTTTAACAACTAGTTCTCTGCCTTAATGACCGGTTGGGTAGGCATGGCTAGTGGGGTCATATGACTGGTGGAAGTGAGTGACATCAAGTTGGCCACGCCCACCCAGGTTTTGTGGCTCCTGGTATTTTCTTTTCTGTGGGAAACGGGTCCAAAAGGCTCTTTGAGTATTTAAGGTTGCAGACCCCTGCCTTAACCACTATACCAAGCTGGCTATTTATATGTGTTCAGTGAATGGATAAGTTGAATTTATCCATCATAATATGAACTTATCATAATATGCATATATTTACAGGCATAGAATTGACTGAATTTGAAAGCTGGACTTTGGAGGGAAAAAAAACATTTTTGTTTTTGTTTTTTTGAAACACTACTTGAAGAGGTAGGGAGGTGGTGATGGTAGTAGTGTGGATTTACCAGTTTTGATGGGTGACAAATTTAGAGAGGCCCAAAGCCAGAGAAGTAAAACTGCTTGACCTTTCTGATAAAGCTTGGCTGAAATTACTTCATGCTGTCTTTTAAGTGAATAAAAGAATTAAACAAAAAACAGTTCTATGTCCCTGCCTTTAAAATTGGACCTCCTGAACCATGTATATATCCTATCACAGCTGTATTCCTACTTTAGAAGATATCCAAGCTAAAAAAGAAATCTACTTCAAAATTGAAGAGGGTTTTTTTTTTTTTGAGGGCGTATTTTTTTAATCTAGAGGTAAGTAGAAGTGCATGACTAATCTTGTTAAGCTTGGATGAGAAATTCCCGAGAAATCTCAAGAAATCCCAGAAAAAGGTAGTGGCAAACTTCTGCACTATTACTTATAAAATTCCATGGATGTGTCTATGAAGTCACTAAAAGACAAATTAAACTCAAGGGAGACTTTACTTTTAACTTAAAGGTAAATAAAAATTCATGCAACATTCCTATGCCGTTATACTATCATACACCTAATAAGCTAAAACAAAACATCTATATTTCAATGTGTCACTTATAATAAAATAATATAAATAAAAAGGAAATGTGTTCAGGTCTAGTGCACATTTTAGGGGATGACACAGTCATTAGACATGAGTATTCTTCTCCAGATACCAATTACTTACATATGATGAAAAGACATAGTTAGCCTGTGAATAAATGAAATATATTCATTTTGTTTTCAACTCTACTAACCCTATCCAGGAGGCAATAAAACATAAACACATCATATTACAGAAAACCAACGAACCAACTAGCAAACAAAAGCCCCAATAAAAATAATTCAGTAGCATTTATGTCTGATCAAGAAGAAAAAAGACTCTATAATAGAAGCTATTAGAATGAGCTTGATTGGTCTTACTTTAGAATCACAACAAATTAAGATAGAATAACCAAATTCTCTAAAGCCACTGCATCTTTTTCTTCAATTGTGGACAAAAACTGCATACCTAAGTTCTGAATATGAATACATCCCAAGGAATAAAAAAAAAAAATCCCTACCTATATAGCACGGAGAAAAATACATAAGTGTATTCAAACATTAACTTAATGTATTGATTTCTTATTAATTGCTTTCATACTTATACAGGAAAATAAACATTGATACAAAAACTGATTATCACAAAAGTCTTTGTACTGAAATCATAGCTGCTATCTCTGATTTCTGTATTCATAAGCAATTTCCAACTTAGTCAATCATTTTAAGTTGAATGATTGAAAGACAAAAAAAAAAGTTCCCATGCTGTGTGTATTTATTACCATTTTGCTTGTTCTAGCTTTCAGTTTGAAAAATGAAGAAATAAAGTTCAAATGGAATGGCGGTGGCTTTCATTTGCCAAGCCAACTTCAGCTTCTTCTTCTCTCGGGATTTTGTTTTCCTTCATAGATATGAAGAAGAAGAAAGCTTGCTGTGAATGATGGGCAATTTTCAATGTGCTATTACTCTTGTCTCGCACAGAAACCTGCACAAGTATTTACTATATGTCTCAATTTTGTTCAGGGATTCCAGGTACGTACATAATGCTCCATCCTCCTATATTTCTTCACAAGTGTCCTGTATGGACAATTGGGCTGAAAGTCACCAAAGGAGCTGCTGTGGCTATAGATGGAATGGAAACTCTTGCCAGTCAAATACATTATCCACTGTACCTTACTCTTTGCCCATTGTTTCATTTTTCAACTGTCAAATGGTCTTATAAAAAAGTGTTTCTTCAGTATAACTTACATCAATTCTCCCCTCTCCCCCACCACTAATGCCATTAAGGCAGCAAACAGATGCTGTGGAGCAGTGGTGGGTTTCAAATTTTTTTACTACTGGTTCTGTGGGTGTGGCATGGCTTGGTGGGCGTGGCTTGGTAGGCGGACATGTAAATACTAATACTTTGTATTGTATTTCCATTCTGGCTTGGTGAACTGAAAATCTACATTTTTCTTACTTAACTCAGAAAATGTAAGTAATGAGCTGATAGTTATAATGACCTGACACCAAGTTTGATTTTTTTTAAAGTCATAGTTTGCATACAATTCAGGGAATGAAGTGTTCGTAGCATATGTATCAGATCATAGTTATTTGTATCATTCCTTATTCTGGTATTTGCTTCTGTAAAGGATACTGTAAAATCTCCATTCCCACCCCACTCCAGGGGAAGCTTACTGCAAAATCCCCATTTCCTCCCAATCAGCTGGGACTTGGGAGACAGAGAATAGATGGGGGTGGGGCCAGTCAGAATTTTTACTACCGATTCTCCGAACTACTCAAAATTTCCACTACCGGTTCTCCAGAACTGGTCAGAACCTGCTGAAACCCACCTCTGCTGTGGAGGTGTTGGCTGCAATTTGTTCCTATGCCTAAATGAATGACTAGTGCCATGATGGCGAACCTATGGCACGCATGCCAGAGATGGCACGCAGAGCCCTCTCTAGTGGCACGTGTGCCACCCACCCTCCAATCAGATCTCCGTGGTGTTTCTTTCATGAGCTTCTGTTTCCCTGCAAATGACAAAACAGAAGCTCACGAAAGAAAAAGATGTTACTTTTTGCCACGCTGCCGGGGTTGCCTTTTGCCACTCTGCCTCCCGCTGGCCAGCTGGTCTTTGGGTCTCTGCTGAGCATGAGTGCATGTCTACGCATGCACACGTGCATGCCTGTACATGTTTGTGCATGTCCACGCATGCACACATTTACGCATATCTGTTCATGTGCACATTTGCGTGCATGTGCACCTTTTAGTTTGGGCATGCACATGTGCACAGTTTGGGCACTTGGTGTCTAAAAGGTTCGCCATCATTGGACTAGTGTGTTGGTTTGTTGAAGTGTAGGAACTTCACTTTCAGGTCCAGATCATTTGGCTTTGGAGCAGTTGATTGTCACTGGATTCTGTATTGTCAGAATTTAATTTCAGCTGCATATCTGTGATGTAGTGAGGAGGTGGATTCCCAGGAGGTAGGGGGATGCATTCCAGAGGACTAAGAGGCAATTCAGCCCAAATATGACTGTGTGAGAGGCAGAGAGTGAAGACAGCTCCTCTCTAATAGTTCACAGAGTATATTGTAATGTAGATGAAGACAGTAGAGTCTTCAGTCTGGCAAGTCTTTGTCTATAGCAGGAGTCGGCAACCTTAAAAACTCAAAAAGCCACAAAGGTCCTAACCGGAACCCCCCCGTTCAATTCTGGAGCTGACTGGAAGTCCAGTTCCCCCACCACAGGGTCTCCTCCTAGCGCGGCGTCCTTTTTCCTCTACCTGTCCTAACCAAAAGCCCTGTCAATTGTGGAGCTGACTGGTAACAGGGAGCCACAGCAGAGGGATGAAAGAGCCACAGGCGACTCCAGAGCCGCAAGTTGCTGATCCCTGGTCTATAGGTGTGAAACAATAAAGAATTCATCTTGGAATAATGATCATGTGTTATTCTTGGTTTCGGGCCTGACATAGCTGAATGTTTAATGTTCTTCAGTGATTGGTAGCATTTTTATCTGTTTCTTCAATCTTTTAAAAAGTGGGTTATTGCAAGTGCTTATTTAACTTATAAGCCCCTTTAACACAGACCAATTCTGTTAGTTGACAGGGGACTGCCAAATGCTAATCAATCCTAATTAAAAGAAACTAAGAAATATAACCAGTATACTTTTAGTTCTATGGATGCTCTGCTGCAAAGAAACTTATCCCAGAGGATCAGGCCAGGAAATTCAGTCACAGTATCTTCCTTTTAGTGGAAGTTGTCAATGCAAGAAAATCCTTTTCCTCTGATCAAAAAGCTTCAGAAGCCACTACACTTGTATAGTGTATGCTATAGTATGGGAAGGAAAGGCAAGAAAAAGCTTCTGTTTATTAATTTTTAAGTGAGTTTCTGAATTTATTCATCTTCATTATTTTTGACCAAGATACCATTTTCAAAGCTTAATAAGTGTTCTTGTAGTTAACAAGCAGTATTAATCTCAGTTTCTACTGACATTTATTACCGACTGAGAGAGAAAGTAAATAATACATTACAGAACCTTAAATTGGGAACTGTTACCTAAAGTAAGATGTGACTTGATACTACATAGTAAACCCTGCGAATAAAAAAAAAATGAAGTAGTGAGAGTGGGAAAAATCCCTCAAATAACATCCAGGAGAAAGGCAATAACACTCTTGAAAACAATAATTTTGCTAAATAGCAGAAAATGATGGTAGTCAGGAAGTTTGATAAGGTCACACAGAGCAATACAATGACAGAACAGTAAGATATCAACCTTCCTGTTGTGAACCACGGAAATCTCTGCATTGTTCCAAAGAAACTTTGAGTAGAAAATGGCACATGGCACTGGTTATCTCAGCATGAATGTTCATAAATTGGAAGGAATTATTTTCAGTCTATGCTCATCAGATGGCCTTCAGAATGGCTTGCTTTTGCCAGCTGAACATTAGAATCATATTTGTTTGAACATATTCTTCTACACTCTAGCAGATGAAAATAGTTCCTCATTTGGCTAGTTAAGAAAGATAAAGAGGGAAGTAATTATTTTATCATGAGTGGGACACTACAAATGTTATACATATAAAATTTCCCATTCATATCTGGTGTCTGAGGGGAAGAGTATTTTTGTTTTTAACTATGTTTTTTAAAATCGATTGTTGTGAGATGCTTAGAACCATTGCATGACATTATATCAGCGATCTTCCTCCCTCCCTCCCTCCTTTTGTTTCCCCTTCCCCCTGAAAACCACTGTTTCCTTTGTCTGGACAATACAATAGAGGACAAACTCCAGATATCCTAGATTGATTTATTTTGCTACAATACAGATAACGTTTTGTTTTCTGAAATTCTCCCAAACAAGCCCAAGGAAAAGGTATGGTCTCGAGAGTTCAGTTCAGCAAAGCATAACTCCATTTGCAACACTTTCCAATAAATTTGGTCAATACATACACCAAATTGCTTGAATTTTCAATCTCATTCGCCAAACATATCTTTATAAACAAATCACTCTGTACTGTATACAAGTCATGATTTTATAAATAAAACCGAGTCCTTTTATAGTTCAATGAATAGATTTATATCTGAAATACACATTCAATTCTCTCAACATGTCTGCTTTTTTACGTACTTTCTATATAAAAAGAAATTTTATATTTCTATTCCTAGAAATATACACAGTGACATCAAGGCATTCTAGATGTTAGAAAGTTATTGCCTATTGGTTCTGTAGTCAGCAGATTTTCTGAATTTCCAGAATTCACTGTAGTGTGAAGTTGGGCCAAAGATCATCTTATTTCAAAAATAAATTACCACAAACATGTTGTGATCCTCCTGATTGTGCCTATTTATTTGTAGAAAGTTATTGGTTCTATGGGAGAAAATGAAGATTTTTGTTCTCTAAAGATTAAAAAAATGAGAGAATATTCTCAATTAAAAGAACATAGTGAGAAGAAATCAGTTCAGAATTGAGATCCAGGTTTTTCCTTTTCCACACAAGGTCAGCCCAAAGTTTACCTGCAATTTATTGATCTTTTGCATTCACAAAAATGACTATACACGAGCTGCTCAGGAGATATTACTTCGGCTGTGTAATATTAAGATACTGCTTTTATTAAGGGATTGTAATTTCTTTCCTATCACAAATCCTGCAATGGGTTATAATGGTGATCTTGAGGAACAGAAGGAAGAGTTGCAGCCAAGACAACAATCAGACAAAAACAAAAATTGAGTCCAAGGCAGAAATGTAATTTGAAAATGTTTCTTAGCCTTGATCTTTTATGAAAATAAAGGAAGGAAGGGACTTGCAATATTGATGCCAGCCTCCCCAAGATAGACCAGACCAGAAAACCAAAGTGAATGCTAATGCTACTTAAATTATAAAGTTATATCAATCAAATCTTGCAAGTCTGAATATGCTTCCCTCCCTTCCTTTGTCTTCCAGCATATTCAGCACAAATAGAAACAAGAGAATTTCTGGAGGATACACACATTGCCAAAAGGATGGACACTGAGATGGGTGACTTCCCAGGTAGATATTATATCTTCTTATTGGAAGTATGTATCACTTACACCTGTTGTAAATGTCAACCTGTTTCCTTGATGGCATGATGAAAATACTAGAAGCCAAACTTTTTTTTAAAAAAAGTCTCATCTGGGAAGGTCAAGGTCTGCTGGTGTTGAGTGGCCTCTAAAGCTAGCAAGACATATTTAGAAAGCTCTTAATGAAGGTCAGCAGAATGAGTTTAGATCCTATATCTAGTTCTGGGCACTACTCAATAAATCAGACAAGAAAAAGCTTGAGTGAGTTCCCAGGAAAGGCACCAGGATGACATACAATTTGGAGGCTAAGCCCTATGAGGAAGGGTTAAAAGAGAAGACAGCGATATGATAACTATATATACTAAAAAGGCTGACTTGTTTATGTTGAAACTAAGAATCAGATTAGAAGAAAGAAAATTCCAACTGAATATTAAGAGGAACTTCTTCAAGGTAAAGAATTAAGTAGTGGGAAAGTCTGTTTAGAACTGTGACAGGATTACTTTTCCTGGAGGTCTTCAAAGAAGGTTTGGAGGGCCATTATTTAGAGATGAATCATTCTTGATTCATGCATGGGGAAACACTCCTGTTCCATGTACATGATACGAAGGCTGAAATAAATATATAGAGGTTCAAACTCTATGGAGATTTGGTTGTCCCAAAGGTGCTTTTTCAGGAGGCAACTGGATTTTCTTGTCTTTTCTTCTTTGAAGAAAAGAAGACATTTGAAGACATTTCACTTCTCATCCAAGAAGCTTCTTCAGCTCTGACTGGATGGTGGGGAATGGAAGGATTTATATTCCTTGCAGACAGCTGGTCATTTGCATTCTTTTAGAGAGTCATTGAGGCCACTTGGAGGTTTGTCTGTGACCTCAAGAGATTCAAAGGGAAATTTTAAGGCCACAAGAGGAGAGGCAGAACAACAGTAGAGACAAGTGGGAAAAAGTTGCAAATAATAGATGTTATTCTAAAACACCACCACTAAATTTATGTCAAGGTTTTAGCCTTAGTAAGCATTTAGGTTATACTATTATATCCTTTATCCTGATTTAGTCTGTCAACTTTATTGAAGCTTAGACTCAAAAGAACATTCACAATGAAAAAGTCTACAACTGAAGGAGCAGAGTGGGCAGGAAAGAAAAGGACAGTTGTATTCCCACCCCTCCTATTGAATTTCCAGCCTCACTAAGTGGGATGAATGCGTATTTTTAACTTTAGAAAAAATTCAAGGCAGGTTTAATAACAGTTTTCAGCTTATATCATTGCAAAAGCTTATAATTATAATACAATTAACTTCCCACAATGATATCCAATGCCATCAAGAAGTTGAATGGGTCTTGACCTACAATTTATGCCATTTTTTAAAACCTAGAGCCTAGGCTGTCTATCTTGAAGAATCATTCCACTATTTGATTGTTTGGTGTAGTGTCCCTGAAACTGCTCATGATTTACTTCAGGAAAATCCTGCTTCACAGATCACTTCTAGGCAAAACATGGGCATAACTGCATGCAAAAAACTATCATGTTCCTCTCATTTTATGCACCAGGGCTGCAGATAAAAAGACGTTTTTCGATCTTGTCAATAAAATCAACAAGGAGTAAGTAGCATAAGATCAATCAATAAAACTCAATCTGCAACGTTCAGCGTATCAGATCTCAAAATATTTTGATTCCCTTCACTTCTGACTAAATGCTTAGGATCAGAAGACATGACAGTTTAGCTGTTTATTAGGGATATATGATTCACCCCTGTTCTGTTCACATATGTTCTGTTCATATGATTCACCCCTACAGAACATCTTGCATGAGTTTTTCTATGGTTCAGTCATAAAAGCAGCACAGGAAGTTTAGGAAGAGGTTAAGCATTCCCGATACCTCATAGGTGACTCCACTGTCAGTGCCAGCATCCCATGGGATCAAGTCCTGAATCACCTTCTGGACCCATCCGCAGTCCTTGGTGCACAGGTCTTCAGCTGAAAGCCCTACATTCCAGTCAGGGCTGGGGCCTAGCATAGTAAGGAAAGACATAAGGTGGCGTGTTCTGTCCACAGAAAATTCAGCAGAGGGAGCTGCTCTCCTAAAAGTAAAGACAAAAAAAAAGAAAAGAAGAAGACTAAAGATTGCAACTTGAGAAATCACAAGCGTGCCTGCAGAATGAAATAAGGACAGGAAAATCCAGACGCAGCTGTAAGCTACTGAAGCACTGCTGTGGAGAGAATCAAATCTCAATTAACATAGTGCTTCCTACAGGGTTCATTTAGGAGCTCGGCTTTATAAAACAAATTTAATGTAAAAAAAATGTTTTTATAGAACACTATTTTTTTTTTCATGGATGAGTTTGTTCAGGCATTAAAAAGAGTCAGGAAAGGTGTCTGAGATATACTCTCGTACCTCCACCTTCCTTCCTGACAGGCGGCTTTGGAAGAGAAGTAATAATTATACATGGCTTGACTTGGTTACAATACTTCACTCATATTTCTGTTGCCTATTGGTAGAAGGCTCCTGATGACTCAAATCATAATGTAGGAAGAGTATTCTTGCAGATCTTGAAGGGAACTTAGAAATGAAGGGCAGGTCCCGCTCAGTCTTCCATAAATAACTTTTTGTTAAAAAGAAAATGACTAGAATGTTAAGTATTTATGTTTAATGAAATCATTTTTACTCCATTGCTGGATTTCTTTCACACTTTTATTCTGACTTTGCTTGCAAAGGAAATATAAGAAATTATTATCTAATGCTTACGGCAAAACACTGCTTTAAAATTCAGGCAACGCTGTTGAAGCCTTCTTAAGGCATAGCATCTGGATGAACTTATCTGGGCTTCATCGTAAACACCGAGGCTGGCAGAATAGTCAAAACAACTGTTAGTTGGATTTTAATGCTCAAGCATGTGTGAGATTTATAGCAAAAGGAAAAAAGATGCAGCCAAGCATTGTGCAAATTTCTGCCAAAATAAATTCACGGTGATAAGCAGTACGCCCTGATTTTTGGGAACTTGCCAAAGATTGCTTTAATGGAGGATATGTTGCCATATGAAATCAATGATGTTCTTTCAATAAATCTCCAAACGTCTTCAGTGATTGACAGGCCACTTATCGGAGGATGAAGCATCTGTGCTGTGAACAAAACTAGTGCTTTAGAAATTTGCTGCCTAGGCTAAATTATGCGCAAACAGAGCCTGATGCTACTGAAGCATCCTATTCTTGGCAACCATGTCAGTGACATCTGGCATCTGTTCTACTTTCCAGGAAGCCCAGATGGGTTGTTCCAATCTGACAACAAAAATGAAGGCCAAAAAGATAGAGTTTAAGAATGGACCGGAGCTTTCCAAACTGTTGCAACTTTATTATCATATGATGCTGCAAGCAGACATAGCAGGCATCAGTTTGGAACGACAGCCTGGAAAATTTCTCATTATTTGCCAGAAATTGCAGCATCAGAATCCCTGGAAAGTTTGATATCTTCCGTAAGTTCTCCTCCCTGAGAAATGAAAATTACCCATCAAGGTCCCTATATGATTGCATGGACCTTGTAGGTCACGGTAATTTCACAGAATGGAAAGGAACTGCAGGGCGCAGAACAGTTACTCTCACTTTCAATTCTTTAAAAAGCATGTTTCTTTATGTGAGAAACAGAAGAGAACACTTGGATCGGAACAAAACCTTGTCAAATCCTCTTTATTTTGCCATTGCAATTCTTGATCTGAGGAAGACACCTTGACTTACCAGTTTTCTGGAGAGATGTGACCTCCTTTTTCATCTTTTATTAAAATAAACTATTTTTTAAACCAGGGTCACCAAACATGGCAGCTTTAAGACTTGTGGACTTCAGCTCCCAGAATTCTCCAGCCAGCTATGCTGGGAGTTGAAGTCCACAAGTCTTAACGCTGCCAAGTTTGAAGACCTCTGGTTTAAACTATTCTTGCTTTAAGGCCTAGTCAATCTTTTCAGTGTTCTACCCTAGCTATGAAGCTACAGTCATTTTAGATGTCTTCTCCATTTTATTCCCCATCTCAAAATAACCCAAATATTATCCCTAAGGGAAATAATATTTCCCCAGAACTAAAATAGAGCTGGGGCCACCCATAGTGATTCTGTGCAGGAGTTTGCCTCAAAAGATATTTCTCTTTTGGTTCAATTCCATGCCTTCTTCTGTACACAAGCTGAATTCCTCCTTAATAAATCCTTCCTGATCTTCTTAAAACCCTTGTTCTGGAGAGCAACAAAAGAGAGCAAAAGTGGGTAGAATGATATGAACTTTTCTAAAGTGTGAAAGGAAAGGAATGTGGGTACGAATGTGTATCAAATAACTTGGTAGATGAAGATCCAGATAGTGAATCCTATTATTCTTCTGTATCTGATGGCTTACGATTAAATGCCACCAAATCTGAAAACTACTTCTTCCAGTTGTAATGCTGCATTTGGCTAGCTTGAGGATTTATATATTTATAAATAACATAGATGAGCCATCCTACAGCTGGTCATTGCCAGGGTGATATATGGTAAAATACGTATATCAAATAAGCATAATTGTTTCTCCCCTGCTTGAGTGGGTTGGTCAAATACTAGAATCTTTAAAAGAAAAAAAATCCCGGACCTCACATTCTATCTTTGTTAAGCCTACCAATATCAGTTTTGTCTTTTGTTTTCATCTGAGGCTTCCTAGGTGAAAATTTGTTAACACTGTGAACCCACGCTTGCAAGATGGATAGGGCATCATAAACGCTGCCGATGAAAAGACTTCTTCTGTCATCTCATCTATCACCTGGCCCCCAATGATAAGATTGCTCTTTGCTTTGTAGTGGTGTGGCAGTCTAATTCTAATATCTTAAGCCATTAGTGTTCATTTCTGTGCTTTCCTTGAACAAACATCTTGCTCCACGAAGAATATCTTGACAGATGAAGAGCACCAAGCGAACTAAATGCTAAAGCTTTCAACATTTAGCAGGCTCGGGGTTTCGACTGCAGAGATCAATTTTAGGAAGGCTGCAAAGGAGCAAACTCCAACTGAAATCAATCATGTTTGCTATAGAGTCATCACACCTCCACAATATCCGCAATACTTCCAGAATATGTCTCTGAAGCTAATAGACATTTTTCAGGTGCAATGTGGAAGGGATTACAACCATTAAGGGTTGGCTTCAGAGCAGTGGTGGGATTCAAATAATTTAACAACTGGTTCTCTGCCCTAATGACTGGCTGGTGGGCGTGGCTATGGTGGGCGGGGCCAGGGATGTGTGACAGGCAGCACTCAGCCTTCTGCAGCCTCCTGAGAGTGAAAATGGGCTGCAGGGGGCCACGCCGCACCCTCCTTGCCCTGTTTTGGGCCTAGTAGGCCTCCCTGCAGCCTCTTGGGAGCCAAAATGGGCCATGGGGGAGCCGCAATGAACCCCCCACACCCCATTTTGGGCCTAGGAGGCCTCCCTGCACTTACCTGGGAGCCAAAATGGGGCGTGTGGGGACTCCTGGAAGGGGCGGGGCAGCCAGCCAGCCAGCCAGCAATTTAACTACTGGTTTGCCCACACTGGCCCAAACCAGCTGAATCCCACAACTGCATCAGAGTATGATCTGATTTATCAATCCCTCTCTATATGTAATAGAATGGTCACTTGAAGCCTGTGTCTTTTTTGTGGCTTTTAGAACCTCTCAAATTAACAGCAACAACAACAACAAATAGCAATGATGCACATTTTCACTGATTTGCAGCTCCGCTAGTGACTTAATTATGTTATTGCCCTGCCCATTGCAAGTCTCAAGTGTCAAAAAATAAAGTTCAGCCCCTTGTATCACAACTTAGAGGGAGCTCAAAAGAATGAAGACAAATCTACAGGAGAAACTGTCACCAGTAAATGCTCAGAACCAAAGTCTAATACCAGCAGGAAGAAAGAAATAAGATTTGCTCCAGTCGAAAAGGCCTACTTTGAATCTTGTGTGCCAAAGAGTTTTGGCTGGAGAATTCAGGAGAGGAGACTGTTCTATGGTGGCCTCAGCCCTTTGTAATATTCTCCTGCCAGAGGTGAGGTTGGCCCCCATACTCCAGGCCTTCCTGAAGAGCCTGAAACCTGGATCTGCCAGGTAGCCTGGGGTCCTGATAGGAATACTTTATTTTGGGTGGTGATTAATGGGGTAGAAAGAAGATCCTCTCCTCATCTCATCTTTCCTCTTAGTTTTTAGTCTTTATTTAATCTTTCTAATTTTAATTGTTTTGTATTATCTTTCTAAAAACCATTTTATCATTTTATAAGCCATCTAGCATCACTGCAACAGTGAAGTGGGCAGCATATAAATTCAATTAACAAATAGCCTTTTGTAAGTGTAATGCCTCCAGTGTAAGCTCCTTTTAATCAAACTTTAACCCCACACGACACCAGCATTGCCAAGTGAATAATGAAGACGGCTAAGAGGCATAACATTTGCACATCTACAACAAAGACATCCTTAGAAATAAAATTCTGTTCAGGAATCATTATTGCTTTTGAGTAGATACTGCTTCTGAGTAGACTTGAAAAACTTTTCATTGGTAACTTGGATCATGGAAGAATGTCTTCACTGTAAATTTTTGTACTTCACTTCTTGAACTCCTAAATCATATTCTCTACCCAAATTATTGGGTATAAAGCCAGCTTGGAATTTTAATTTTACTGATTCTTGGGCTGTTTTCTACCTCAGTTCTCTGTTCCATCTGTGGCTGCTTTTTATTTAGTGGAAGGTAATATTTAAGGTTAGGAAATCTCATCTGTTGCTATCGATTCAGGTTCCTCAAAATACCTAGTATGTGAAATATTACATAGCCATCTTCCTATTTATTACTTTTCAGTTTGAAATTTTTGTTTCCCCCCCCGCTGGTTTCTCAGGCACAGGACTTACCAGGAAGCAAAAGGAACCAATCATGCCACATAGCAATTATGGATATGCTGCCATTTTCTCCCTTGATCATTCATCTCTGTGCCACTATTAAATTAAGGGACATAAGGTTTCATTTAAAAATTGCAGGAATATAAAACCTGTACTACCATACCTTCTTCTTGTAAATTGCAACGTGCCCTTGAAAAAAAAAAAAGGATATTGACACCATTAT